GTAACACCACCAATACTACTTCTTGGAGCCTAGTCATCACCTTGCTACTATACTACTGTGAAGCCGACACCAGGGCTGGCAGCCCTCCCCTTACAGTATCTTTCTTTCATATCCTTACACACTTGGGTCCATACCGGCTTCAATTCGGTCGGTTTATTGATATTCATCAAGCCCGCCCGTTTACATTGAAAAAAACAATCCATAAGAGCGTTTTGCATCTCAAGCATTAGCGTAATACGCTGTTTCGGTGCTAGCAACCTTACAATCCGAGTAGTCGGACGCTTTGGTTTGGGACCGGAGTGAGAAGAGGGAATGGAAGGGGATGATCGTGGTATGTCCGAATGTTCTGGTTTGAACCGGCCAATATTGGCGTCCGAGATGACACCCGATGTTGTTCGTTCAATTGCCCAATCAGATTGCATTGTATAACTGGAATACTGATGATCGGAAGTCGAAATTTAGTCGGAAATAATGTGAACGCAATTGAGAATGAAGAAAATTCAAAGCGGCAATTCACAGCGATTCACGGCGACAACATAGGAAAATTTTCTCGGAGAGGCGGGAGAGGCGGTAAAGGCGGTAGCCACAAGCATACAGGTATTTACTCAGTAGATTAGCTGTAATGGCAGGCAGGACCGGCTAGATCCAGGGAGCTCGATGACAGGGCAAGGTTACACGGAGCGGGTCTGCGTTACGCGACTGGCAGGAGGAGGCCAGAGGGTGGGACTAGGAATTGGGTGATGTTACGCGGGTAAGATTACGCAACGCCGAGACCAAAGAAGACAAGGCAGGGGCCGTAGCGGGAGGCTAGGGTGACTCAGGGGGACAAGACAGGAGACAAGACAAGGCAAGGGGCAAGGCAGGGGGAGTGTCGGAGAATTCTGACACAGACAAGATTCGAACACGAGACTTCAACTAAATTAGTAGGGTGCTAGACCACTAGACAACTAACATACAAGACGTTGGATGGGAAAGAGGAAGGGAGAACAGTATATAAGCCCGGGTCCGAACGTCCTCCTTTTATACCACAGTCCCATCCAACAACCGATGTACCTAAGTACCCAAGTACTCTTGTACCTTCTCCGATTCCCTTTTTGTATGACTCATAGAGTCCGCGTAATATTTTCGATTGCCACCTAATTCTGAGATTCTTCCATCGTGCCGATCGCGGTCCTGACGTGGCAGGCTTACGGGTGATTCGACCTCGCAGCGATGGGGTGTCACGGGGCAGCTAGCCGGATCGGGCGCTAGCCAGGGGCATCGCGCTATATAAGCCGACTTGCCACGTAACTGCATCTTTTCCTCTTTTCCTTCCTTCTTTAGCTAGTAGTAACACCACCAATACTACTTCTTGGAGCCTAGTCCACCACCTTGCTACTATACTACTGTGAAGCCGACACCAGGGCTGGCAGCCCCTTACATGGGGGTCTAGCCGGGTCTTTTTCTGCGATCGGGGCTTAGGCGGGCCAGGGCCGTAACAGTCTGGTATCAACATTATTTGGAGAATTCTGTACGGTCAATGCATCTTCCAAAGGCACGGCCAGACACAAATAGGGAGTTTTGTATCTACCCAGGTGAGGTACTCTGCCGAATGCCAGATCGTAATGCAGATAATCGAATTCATCGACGTAATGTAAGTATAGAACGTTTTAACATTAGTGAAGATATTTACATTAGTATAGAAGCAATATTCGAAACCAACAAATCTAATAACTCATATTCTGTTTGCCTATCCCTGAGTTGTTATATTATGTTTAACGGGGCGTATGGCATATAAAATAGAGTGCGATACCCATGGTATGTACTCAACTACTTGTTTAATGCTTACATAGTGCTTACAGCTATCTAGAGTGGTATGAAACTCATTTTTGTGATGAAACACAGTCGGACTATAACATTGTGCGCTCGGATATCATTGATAACACACAATTTGCCAGTACACACTCGACCAGCGTGCGTTCGACTGTATACTCGACCGACACTCGTTCGACCGGTGGCGTATGTTAACCGGCGTATGTTCGACGGGCGCACGTTCGACCGGCGTACATTGAACTGGCGTACATTCAACCGGCGCTCGCTCGGCCAGTAACGCACAGTCAACCAGCACATCAATTGATGACAAGTAATTGACCGATGATGCCGATGATGAAGAAGATGATAATATCGATGAGAAAAATGGTTGTAAGGGTCGTCGCGTTACGGTCGGAGACTGAGCGAGATGGTGTCGGATTCCAGGAAGTGGTGGTATTACTAGATTACTGTCTGAAGAGGAGAAAGGAGAACTAGTGGTCTGGGACCGGAAATAGGTTATATATACAGGAATAGCGTGGTGCGCGCCAAGTGGTCGGTGCGCGGTCGGAAATAGGTTGGTCTGCCCCTTTACAATGGTGATGATGATGATGAAAATGGTAGTGATGATGTTGTACAGTCAGCTGAAAACCAAGCTGAAAACAACAGTAAACCTGATATTCCATGCTTCAAGGTGAGTACCATGATGATTTTTATATGAATAATATTATTTTATTTTAAAATAAGCAGCCAAATCTCAAAATGGTGAAAACTTAAGCTATCAAAACTAAATTGCAGCCTAAAGGTTAGGCTTGTGATGGATGTCAAGCACATAGTATTTCAGTATCTGGTAAGCACTAGACAAGTACTTTGCAAATACTCTAAGTACTAATAAATATTCTTTAGAATGTCCTAAGGTCCCAGTTTTATCATTCTGTCATTACTGGAAACCTTACAATATTACTGAAGGTTGGATTATTTATGAGTAGAACATATTTTTCTCCAAACACTAGTATAGGCTGTCAGGTACTTATAGAGCATCCGTGTGACAGCGTCTGCTGTCAAAAACGCGTGATACTGTTGATTACATAATTACAGAATCATATAGAAGCTGCCGAAACCTAACGGAAGGTCCTAAAATGTGTCGAAAACAGATTAGTAATCATAGAAGCAGATGGAAAGTGATAGAAACTGGCAGAAGATTCCTGAACCTGTCGGAATCCGACAGAGTCCCCGCGTGCTGGGTATATATCCCCTAGCACCCCGACACGCACTTTCCCTCCTTTCTCTTTTTTCTCTCCTTAGTTGGATTATTTTTACCAGAATACACTCATTTGTTTAAACTTTGTTTCAGTCGTAGAGTTGTTCACTCTGTGACATCAAGGTTGGTGCTATGTTTGCTAGCGGTTAGGTTAGTACAGGAGGAGTTGTCACGTGTCCGTATGACATATTCTGAAATTAGCTGATATACAGATTCTCGTCACATTTCCTTCCCTCCTGGCCTCGTTATTTACCCGGTTTCATATCCGTTATCTTCTTCCTTCGCGATCATTTTAAACAGTCATGGCCAGCCTAGATAGCAGCACGTAGAGCTTATATACTGAGTTAATATATGTGACGGGATTGGGATGTGCAAAACGTACTGTCTATTTTTCTTGAATTGGAGAATGGTATGGCAGTCCTGATTGATACGAACATTGCGATGCGCATTGATGATTGCGTTATATTGAGCACGGCATCACAGCAGGTCTAGCTCTAACGGTTGGCAACCGCCACCCTTGAGTCCCTTTTGACCTCGAATATACTTGGTACACTTATTGGAATCTGTGCCAGCATTTCTAATAGTATTACCGACAGCATCATTGCCAGTATTACCAATGGTGTCAGCATTGCCATTACCACCCGGGCCTCCAGCCTTGGTAATGCCAGCGCCAGCGCCAGTGCCTTGCGTGGAGCGGGTGGCCATTGGTGTTAGTTTGGTTCCAGTTTAGTATTGATTAAGTGACGCTGAGATAAGGTGTTGAGAATTAAGAATGTTAATGTTACAAAATGATGCGCGGGAAAAAATCGCAAAATGGTGTGCTAGAAGAAAAAGGGGAAAGAAGGAAAAAGGGGCAGGGAAGAAAAGAAAAAGGAGCAATACAAAACACAAATTGGGCATTAATTGGGTAGTGGCAGGCTAGGTAAGATACCTAGGCAGCTTGGTAGGTAGTGCGCTTCCTAATAGTTAAGCTACCTTACTTACCTACCTACCTGCTTGTCACAGCTGCGCTTTCCTAATAAAAGTACTCTTCACTCTTACTTACCAATGGATGTGCCCTAAAGTGTACTGTAGATAAGTTGTTCTACGACATTGTAGGGGACCTACCTTACAACTTCTCTCCTACAATACACTTTTCAAAGGCACATCAATAGTATTTATGGCTCGTCTTTTCGTTTCCTGCCCACCCAACCCCATGTACCACATTCAGGGCCTCTTTTGTTTTTACTATTTGTTTTGATCTTCATAGTTCTCCCAATAAAAGTATGTGAGAGGCTGCCAGCCCTGGTGTCGGCTTCACAGTAGTATAGTAGCAAGGTGGTGGACTAGGCTTCAAGAAGTAGTATTGGTGGTGTTACTACTAGCTAAAGAGGAAAGAAAAGGAAGAAGGGAGGTTTACGTGGCAGGTCCGCTTATATAGCGTGATTCTGCTTAGTAAGCACCTGTGCACCCGACCGGCACCTAGCTCTTTATAAAGTACTGTCCACCCCTACCTACTAATAGATGTGCCCTAAAGTGTGCTGTAGATCACTCATTTTTTATCATCCCGCTGTGGGGTTCTTTCTGTTGGATTCGGGCATAATTAGGTAATCAAAGAAGGCGCTTGTCACACACCGAAATAGGCTTTAGTGTAGAATTAAGCAAACGTGGCGCACCCGTGGCTTGCATGGTGGCACTCGCACATGGCCCATAATTATATAATCAATGTTTTGTACAAAAAGAGAAAATCTCTCCTCCCAAATAGGGGACAGAGCCCACTGTATAGGTGAACTTTGGTGGTCACGTTCAGCTCATCTGATAACACGATCGAATACCTTATAGGCCACGATAAACCGGCGGGAACTTCAACAGCTAATAGCTAGCGGGGATAGCTCAGTTGGGAGAGCGTCAGACTGAAGTTCAAACTTCGTCACTAGTTAATCTGAAGGTCGTGCGTTCGATCCGCACTCACCGCAAGCGTTTTTCTTTTTTTTCCTTTTTTCAACTGTCGCGATGTCGCGAAGCATACAATCGTCCGGGACCACCTGCTTGAATAATGACAGTACTATTCCGAATGAGTTTGACATTGACAAGATACCACGATGCCCATCGAATGACTATCAGATATAAAACTTAGACGCGAGATTCTCTAGGTTGCGAGGATCCATACTGATCCTGATCACTTCTCGATCATGCGTCATCCATTCGAAAAAGTCGCAGTCCCCTGCCACGCAGGTATAGAACAAGCGTCCCGGCTTTGCATTTTTCACACCGGTGACCCCGCGACGGCTGATATACCCGCAACAGCAAACGGGGTTCTCGGGGTCGATGCCTCTCCAGTCGCGAAAGACCAGGAACCGCTTACATTTACTACACTTGAAGTAAGGCCGGTTTGCGTTCCCGTTCGGATTGTCCCACATGACTATAGCGGACTCGCTGTACGCACCGCAGAAGCCGCATTTAGGAGAGACTTCTAGCAGTGGCATCGACAGCAGTGCTTCGTTTCTATTGCATCAGTCTTCGCATTCATATCCAGTGGGGGGACGACAATGATGGCAATTCTTCACCTTCGCTGTTTTCGTTCCATGTATGGAAAAACCACGCTTTGATGTCTTCGTAGTATTCGTCGTCGTCTTGGTATTCATCGGCGCACAGTGGCAACGAGAGCAGCGCTTTAAATCCGCTGTTTTTGATCTTCAGCGCGGCTAGGCGTCGCTTGGAGTCAGCATCATCATCATCACTGCACTTATATCCGGTGGGGGGCGGCGGTAACGTTGCCGGCTCGGGGCTTTCGCGCTTTACTGCGACCGAGACGGACGAGGCCTGCCAGTATGGATTAGTGATATAACAATAGAGATAGATATACCGATGTTAATTACCGCCATTTCGTAAGGAATCCGTCTTTCGAAGCTCTCTGTGTTGTGCTCTGGGGCCCAGGAGGCACGGTGTTGAGAGTAGTGAACAGTGTTCAATGAGGGAAGGGCTAGCTAGGTATGAAAGGAATCGATGTACTATGTATGATGACTCAGAGAATGAGTAGTTGAAAGGGAGAGCCTTTGTTGTATCGCACAACCAGGTAGTCAGACTCAGGCCCCTTGCGGCACGAAACAAAGAAGGATCCTGAATGAAAGTTTAGCATGTCTGATCAAGTTGAAGTAGCTTTATCGACGGAACTCCTGCAGTCAGCTGGCAACGACCAAGAGCTCCCTCTCCTATCTACCACTCCGTCCAGCTATACACGCTCGCGCAACCCAGTCCGACGCCATACATCGTGGGGTTCATGCCTGGACTGACAGCTACCATGTCGACAATAGGACAACCATGCTAAATCAATTGTGCGGACGGGTAGTCGAGACTGCCATCATAAGTATTGAACATATGGGTCAAAGTATCTCCGAGGCGTCTCTCACGTTGAAAGCCGCCTCTTTGATACCAGGTCGAAGTATAAACAAGCTCGACTCCACCTTTCGGACCCCCAACACGATCGGCTGAACTTGATTTATGCCTACTGAGTATAAATACTTAATGTGGTTAGCGAGTTTGGTTCCCGTTTTATTTATTTACTTTCAACTTGGGCTGCCCAGCAACGAGAAGCATTGTCTAACTTACACATTGAAGTTGTCAAAAACCGTCTTCGCGTCTGCCAGCCGGTTTATGAGCTGATGTGACGTAATGTGCTTGCCCAAGTATCTTAATGTTGAGGCCGGGAAGGGCCGCAGCGAGGCCAAATGACGGCATCGCGTCCCCGATCACGCTTCCCGGCGCGATCCTGCGAATCCCGGCTGACTGAGTAACGTGCCACGGCACGTTCCCGCCCCCTCGCCGTTTGCTTGTGCTTTGTCCCTTCTGGAGTGACGTCAGTCCCTCAATGTCATAGCGAAGCAACGTCGATGACGACGATGCATATTTTCCCCAGTCACACTGGTTCACCGTCCCGCGGACATTCAACACTGAATACATAATGCTATGGCTCGCTTAGATCTTTACTTCTCATGAACTCCTTGGACTGTCTTATTCCTCGAATATCCATCACTAGGCATCGCCCCGAGCCTGCCGTCAGTTTGATTCTCGCATCGCAGCAAGAAATATCTTCGTGACGGCTTCGCCAGGGTCTTTGCCATCGGGTTCCTCTGCCGAAATTCTTCCTTTACCGATTTATTTTACACTCTCATCTAACTGCAGAAGCTATGGGCCTTTTCAACCGTCAGAACCGCGAACGCTCCGGCCATGTAAATGAAGCGGTGGGGGGCCGACAGCTCCACAGCGCGTACAGCATGGCTGGCCGTCCCTCGTTTGGTCAGTGGCTGAAAGTGGCTTGGCTTGATATTCTCACCTTCGTCATCATGGGCGTCATAGGTCTCGGGGTATGTCCGTCGACAGATGAGTATCTTCTTATCTAAGATACAAACTAAATCCGATCAGATCTACGAGGCGCCCCCTGCCCCCTCGCGCTCGTTTGCGGTTACCTTCTCCGACAGCGAGGTTGTTTACCCCGAGTTCGCGTACCCTTTGCGAAAAGAAATCATCCCGATCTGGCTGGCCGCATTCCTGGCCTCCGTGGTTCCAATCATCGCAATTCTCCTCATGCAATTCCGCGTCCGCTCCTTTTGGGACGTGAATAACGGCGTAATCGGCCTTTTGTACTCTCTCATCACCGCGGCAGTGTTCCAGGTCTTTATCAAGTTTCTCATTGGTGGCTTACGTCCTCACTTCCTCGATGTGTGTAAGCCTGATATCGGTCGAGCTAAGTCTGTGTACAATGCTGCTGGTTTCCGCCAGCTCTACTACACACCAGAGATATGCACAGGAGACATTTCGGAGATAAACGACTCGCTCGAGTCTTTTCCCTCCGGGCATAGTACTGCGGCATTCGCTGGCTTCGTGTACCTGTACCTCTATCTCAATGCGAAGCTCAAAGTGTTCGCCAATTATCAAGCTCCCATGTGGAAGTTGGTCGTTATCTATACCCCTATTCTCGGGGCTGTCCTTATTGCGGGCGCTCTGACGATCGATGAGTACCACAACTGTAGGCAATGCGTCGACCTTCGCTCTTCAATCAACTGGCTGTAGCTAACCGCTTCCCTCGCAGGGTATGATGTATGTGCTGGCGGAATCATCGGCACTGTCATGGCTTTCTCATCTTACCGAATGTGCTATGCCGCCATCTGGGACTGGCGTTGGAACCACATCCCTCTTCATCGTTATCAGGCTTGCCTCTACAGAAGCGAGGGGATGGAGCTTGGGAATGCCGTGTGGACGCGCAAAGCTGGGTGGGGAGCCAGCTCATCCTCGCGCCATGGTAATCATTCGACAAAGGGCGACGCTATATCTAAGTCTACTGGTGGCCCCGAGAAGGCTGTTCACGACAGTCACCATCAAGGCGATGAGATGGTATGAAATGAATTGGTTTGATTTGATTTGTTATGAAGTAGGGGCCGTCTTTCATTAGGCAAACCATACCTCCCAGAGCGATACATCGTGGGATTGATGGGCTCAGCCGCGGACCACTTACAACCCGTGGCGCTGACGTGACTAGACACGCCGTTTGTACTGCGTATCGGATAGCCTACCTACCTAATAATCGTGAGTTAATGAGAAGTGTTATGTCTGCCTAAAATCACGATTCACAAAGTGCATGGCGCTGTGACCCCCGATGCCTGATTCGTCCGGCCAAGCATGCTTTCGATATGATTTGTCGCCCTGAAATAGAGGATGAGTCTCCGTGGTGTATCAGTCTTGCGTCGCCTTGTGTATCGATCGGCTTGGCTTAGAACGCATACAGCCCACGCTTGGAAGTGTTTGCGAGCTCTACAAATCCCAAGTTCCCAACTGCAACCTTTTCGTCGCTACGATGCCACGTCCACGGCTTGGATTCGATGTGGCAAAAGGAGCTGGATTATTTCGGTTCAAGCCATGCTAGAATCTGCGAATCATAAAATAGTTGCGAAATGACTCGTTTGCACTTCTTTTGGGAATTACCCGTCCGCCGCCGCCATATGATATATGACAGACTTTGGGGAAAATCTATAAAGCCTGAGACCGCTTGCCTGGCTTCAGTTAGTAGCTTGATTTCCATATCAAAGGAGTTTTCTAGGCTGTCTTTGCAATTACCGTCCTTGTCATGGCCGCGTACCCTGCTTTCGTGGATGATAACCGTGTCCTTGATAGAGAAACAGTTTCGCATGGATTACGTCCCCAGATCGCCAGTTCCATTTTTCGAGACGAAGAGGACGTGCATCCGTGGCGAGTCCTGCAATCACAATCGTTTGACGGGCCGCTGCTTAGGATTTGGGACCACAACAGTGGGAGTATCCCATCGATTCATAACCGCATGATGGCGAGAGGGTGGGATATGCGTCTTGATGATGAAAATCTGCGACGAGATTCTTTGTCTTCGCATCTCAACTATCGTAATTGGGACACACCAACTCCATATATCTCGTTTACAACGAGTAAAACTAGAGTTGAAGGCTTGGCTGCTTTAAGAGCCCGTCGAGGTACCCAGATGCTCACGGTCATCGACCCAAATACCAGACTCCGCAATGGACTGCCCATTCTTGATGCCATGGCCGAGATAAACCACTACAGTATCTCAGATCCCTACAGCAGAGGCTATGTATATTACTTTGACGAGTATCTTTGTTTGTGGCAGGTCACGCCAGCTGAGGTTGTCGGCCACTGGAACTGGAGCGACCTAAAGCATCGCAGCAACTGGTACGAAAATATCATTCTACCCGCATACAAGGAATTTACCGAGAAAGCGACGGCAAATCGTGCAGAACATACAAGCGGGCTGCCGGAGAAGGTAGAAACGAGTGGGCATTCACAAGGTAGCCTGAATTGGTCTGCTTTGAGCGATCTCACTGGTGAGCTTGTAATACTGCCAGCCGACGTTTTGCGCATACTAATTATTTATTCGAGGTATCATGTCGAGGCTCGGTATTTCCGACTGTCAAACCCGGAGTCGCAGGGTCAT